TATTACAGTAGATTGCAAGATCCATGCTAAATTCAACCTGTGCAAGTGTGTGTGTGTGTGTGTGTGTGTGTGTGTGTGTGTGTGTGTGTGTGTGTGTGTGTGTGTGTGTGTGTGTGTGTGTGGTGTGTGGTGTGTGTATATAAAGGTCACAGCAAAGTTCACATCTTGACACATCTAGAACACACACATGAAAACAGTCTCAGAGGAGCGGGAGACGTTCATGTCTCTGAATTCCTGAAAGCTGAAACATGAAACCAACCGAAGCCACGTAGAAAAACACAAGTCCTTTATTTACAATCTGATCCAAAATAAGTGTAAGAAAAATACATCCACTCGTTATTTGTCAAAATAAAGTACCGAGAGTTTCCTCTCAACGTGACGGCACATTTATACTCCAGTGTTCAAGCTTTTAAAAGTCTGCAAACGACACAACGGTAGCCGTGAAACTTGTGCTTCACGATGTTTGACATCACAACTTAAACTAGAACATATACGTTAAACGTCATAGCTGATTTCATTTTCTTCAATTGATATTTCATGCATTTTTGTAGCTTAAAAATGAGCTAAACATTGAATATTCAGGGGAAAATATGTCCACGTTGTTCTGTAGTGAAAGGAACTGTGCTGCATGTCGACGTCTTCACTTATAAACAATACCAGACTATAACAGCTTGAGGGCGATGTTATTCGTCGTGTTGTCAAAGTAAACAGAGAGGTCGTTGGCAGCGATTTCACTTAAGGCTTTAAAAATAAGTCTTAAAATGTCTTCATAGATCACATGGTGCCGGAAACTCAATTCATACATAACTTCATTTCTCCAAACACAGACGAGTGTGATGTGTTTTTAAACCGTTTTTTACATCATAGTGGAGACTAAGACTAAAACACTCTGCAGGGGAACCGTCTTCCTTCTGCCCTGTAGTAATAACTAGAACACAGGTGACACATTTTTACAAATTCAAACTCAAAGATGGGAACATTTCAGTCAGCTGTTTTGTCCCGGAACATTTGGAAATACTAAGTTAAAGTTTGGTGTGTTTTAATTTTGCATTTGAACAACACTGAGGGTTTTCCTGTCACACACACATTGGATTATTATTGGTATTAAGGATTTCAAGAGTATTTAAATGTGGCTGAAATTGCTGGTTGGTGAAATACTGACTCTAATGTTCTGTCTCGTAGCACAAAACACTTAATTGATATGATTTCGTTTCACTTCTGTCCACATCTTAACCGTCCGTACTTTCCTGAGCTGCACTTGAAGGCATCGTGACCTCTAGGGGGTCAGCAGCGGAGGCGGAAACGAGCGAAGATGGGCAGGTGATCAGATGAGTGGTTCTGATTGGGCAGCCCGTGGACTTTCTCCAGCTCTGACCGGCCGACCAATGACAGCCTGCCAAGTAGCGTTAGGCCCCGCCCACCAGGAAGTGAAGGAGGGGGGACGAGTTCTTTAAAAGAAGAGATATAAGAATATTTAACAAATAGAACAAACAAGATCAACAATGAGTGTGTGTGTGTGTGTGTGTGTGTGTGTGTGTGTGTGTGTGTGTGTGTGTGTGTGTGTGTGTGTGTGTGTGTGTGTGTGTGTGTGTGTGTGTACCTGGTGTGTACAGGATGTAGTCCACGTTGGTGGCAGTCTTTGAGTGACAGGTGGTGATCTCCGGTCGGCCGTCCTGCAGGCGGTGATCGTACGAAGAGTGAAGCTTCAGAGTGTGCTCGATCCTCGCTCTGCTACACACACACACACACACACACACACACACACACACACACACACACACACACACACACGACATCTTTGTTTACATTTCTCTCTTGATTGTGTATATATATATATAGGTATATACATATTTGTATTTTTGGATTCTGGATTGTGAGAAACGGTATTTCGATCTCTCTGTCTGTACACACAAACTGAAAGATTGACAATAAAGTTGACTTTGACTTATGAGTAGACATGTGTTGTAGATACATGTACGTGTTTATATTTGTTTATTACAATGAGGCTCTTCAGTTCTGCTGTTAACCCTCCAGTTGTGTTCAGGTACATTCTGAAAAATGTACTACTTTAATCAACATATTGTGTATCACATTTGATTGCCTCAAGGCCTTATCATATGACAGCGGGCATTTGCAAATACAAACTAATGATGGACTTATGATTTTCCTTTCATTTAATTGGTATTAACCCTTTGTCAAGTTAGGGTGACAGCTAGCAGCCAAAAGGAGCCATATGACTCAACAGGATGTATTGCTTTTCTTAATGATATGAAATTAAACAAAAAAGTAAAAAAGCCCAACACTTTGACACATTTCTAAGCAGCTTAATTCCTGAGTGACCACTTGTTGTTTCTGTCTTCTGTGCGTGATGCCCTCGGTTGTTATGTGTCTTGTTGTGATGTATTGGATGCATTGTTCAATAAAGTTGGTTCAAAAAAAGAACATTTTTCTTAAGCTAGATGCTGCTAATGTTTATTTTTACATCACAACAATCTAACGGGTGTAAAATGTGAATTATAATATACTTAAGTGTAGCCAAAATGTACATTAAAAGCCCAAGATAATGTAACATGAACAATACATAGAGTAAATGTTAGCTTATTTTGAGCCTCATTGATTATAAAGGCGACTCATATAATGTCTGCCCTGACTCGTTAGCTCACGTTTACTCACTTCTCTCCGGAGGGGGGACCGGCATCGTTTATATTTCGGCTTGGATGCATTTCAATAAGCGATTAAAATCACACATTATCGATATGTTTAGTTGTTTTTATCTGTATTCAAAACAAGCAGCAGAGTCGCCAAAATGTTACGCAACAGAAAACGTTCCACTAAGCGAGGCGAATCCCGTGCTGCCTTCAAGTACTCCGGCTAAACTCGGATTTTCTAGTCGTATAGTAAATAAATGTACATTACTTACAAGTGGACGGTTGATTTAACACTTCACCTGAAATACAGATACATATATATGTATATCATTATATGAACAGCATTCGCTGACTGATAGCTTTGTTATACATGGTTTAAATGAAAGGATACTCGTAAAAAGCAACGGTTGCATTTAGAAACTAAGAAAAACAACGGACATATTAATTTTTGTTTTCATTTTGACCTTCTGCTAGTTATATAAACACAAATAAATCCACTAAAAGACGTTTTAATTATGAAAGAAGCGTATATTTTAATAATTGGACTGTTTGTGTCGTTTCTGAAGAGAATTCCAACATTTCAGAGAGCCTTTAAATGGAGCATCCATTTCACCTTTTTGCTGGGACTTGTAGTCTTTTGGTCCTTTCTCTAGAATGGAACGCTGTGATAGGATTCAGTTGAACGGACTACAACTCCGTATTATAGCGGAAATAGAGGAAAGACTGGATTCATATCCCATCTATTCTTTCTTTTATCGGGAGCATCCGTAATGTCGATTCATTTACGTGTCATCAGTATTCGCTACGGCTAAACTGTTTTTAGATTGTATAATATATACATATTTAGTAGGCTATGTTGTTAAAGAGAACATGTAAAGGTCATCGTACTTACGTAAAATCGAGCCGCTAGTTGAATACGAAGAAAAATATGCCGGTAAAATCGGCTTCAAAAGATAAAATGTCAGCTTCCTGTGTGTGACATGTTCTGTTATTCCATGTTAAGAAATGCTATACAAAGCTTTAAAGTACGGATTAGCAAGGATTGATAAAGAGCACTGTTCTATGAGAAGAGGGGAGTCAGCACATCCTCTCTCTCTCCCTCTCTCTGTGTGCGTGTGTGTGTGTGTGTGTGTGTGTGTGTGTGTGTATGTATGTGTGTGTGTACCAACATCAAACATCTTATTTCTCTCTTTAGACTCATTTTCTGACCCAAAGCTCTTTGCATTGCTGAACCACCGAGATGTTGTTATCCTAATGTAAATACTAAAACATCCCAATCACAATGTGAAAATAAAGAGCCTCCTTTCAGCCCCTTCTTTATGAGCAAAGTGATGGTGATTAGAGGAGAATTCTTTTTAATGTAATTATGTTTTGTGATATGTTGTTTCCATCACAAGGATCATATACTGAGTTGTATTTACCTCTGCCTTCTACCTGTGCTTTGGGAGAAGTAAAAGAGTTAAACTGTTATTAATATGTCAACTTTTGTTCAAATTCTTTACATTCAAACAAGGCTTCTCTAATATGTATACAAAGAAAACAACGCAAGTACATACAAAAATTGACACTACTAAAATACAAATACAATAACATAGATTTGTGCCAAACAGAAATGTATATAAATACACTGGATAGAGTAAATGCACAATAAGAAGTAAGCTATTAACACAGAGGTGTACCGTGGTCCATTTCAAACAAATGTAAGTAAAATATAAAAGCCTTTTTGATGATAATAGATACATGTATGGGTAGCTTTAGTAATATCAGCAGTTATACAAGTTCATCAAACCAGTTCCATCATTGGTAATTTACTACTGATGGTAGTTGTAGTAATATTAGTACTGAATGTGGTAATGTATGCATGTTGTCGACTTGAGTACTCCAGCTGAAGTATTTGTTGTAAGCAGAGCAGCAGTGGTAGCAATAGCATTAGTTTGTGTTAAATTAACACCTAAAATAAGTGTTATTATTATATATTACTGCAACATAACTTTAATATTTTTGATCTGAAATGTTGCGTAGGTCCATCAAATCTTTACCTTGCGTGTAAACGTTCACAACCATTTAAATAAAATACGAGCAGCCATTATAAAAGCTTTATTCAGGAGTCAAACAGGATATCAAAATGATGCAGTGGATGATATCAAACACAGGAAAGACCTTTCCAACGTTAGAAATCCATCATTTGAAAAAACCGGACTTGCAAAGTGATTGTTAGGGGAGTTTAGAGATGGCAGAAATGTCTGGGTCTTTCGTTACCTTGACTCTGTTGGAATCTGAAATGAAAAACCACAGAAGAAGTCACGTGACTGCGGGGTCACAGTTTGACCCGTCAGCAGCTGCAGTTCCTCCGTCAGCAGTCAGAGAGAACAGAAATATCTCTATTCGGAAAAAGCATCAAGAGGACACTTCTTCCTGAAAGTCACCTGTAAATCCTTAAATCATCATGAGTTTAGAGACTGAAGAAACAGTGTGAGTAAAGCTTCTCCCCCAGTTTCATAAAGTGGAAAGAAAAGTGCAGAAGAATGTTCCCATGCACAGCGAGGAGCGGCAGACATGCGGCTCTCTTTCCCACATCGTCCTCCTTATTGTGCCTTTATTTACACTCGTAGCCCTTTTCTGTCCGTGTTTCTGCTCACATTCTGTATCAACTTGTTCTTAAGAACCACTTGTTGTGCTCATGTCTCCTTTGTGTGTGTTTCCTTCTCCTCCATGCTCTAGCTTTCTACTTCTGCAATCAAATATACTGATACATACGGTGGCCGCCAGGTGCAAACACGCTACAACGGTCCACGTTTCCATAAGGAGAAAGAACCTCAGAAACGATAGAAATATAAAAACACTAATGTGCCAAAGTCCCCTGGTTGTCGCTGTGTTTTGAGCTTCTTGCTTTTTATCCAACGCTTTTTGTAAACGTCGAGTCGGTGAAGATGTTACTTCATTCACTTTATGTTTGCATCGTTTCTGAAGTTGCACAGGTTTCTCCTAATTGAAATGTTTTGGTCTGTTGTTGCGCGTTTGCACCTGTCCGCCACCGCGTATACAGCAAAGGAAGCTGCAGCATAGAAACTGGGACATTATGGTCAAATAAACATCCAAAATGCATCAAACACCTCCTCCACCTTGCATACTTCAGAAGGGTAAAGAGCATAATATAAACTACCCCACTAAATATTGAGTTCTTAACATTAACGTATCTTTTGGATCTGTTAGGCTCATATTCTCTCTCCATCTCCCAAAGCAGGGTTACTCATGTATCTTGAAGTTGATGTTGAGACAGTGATCAGTTTGGTTGGGTAACAGGATTCATTTGGGATAGTGTGGAGGCTACTTTTATATAACATTAGAAAGACTGATTCTTATTATTACACTATAAGCTTATTGTGCTCATTTATGTGGCTTTGACTTTGGAATAAATAGACTCAATACCCCCCCCCCCGAAGTTTTGATGGGGAGGACAGGAACGAAGGGAAAAGTCACATGAGAAAGTGTTTAGCTTGCAATACTGAAAGTAGCAAGGTCAGGTGCAGAGACTGAGAGAACACAAAGAGGTAGTCAGAACAGCACATCGCACCGGCCTTGAGTTGTATGGGATCTTCACTCCCACGCAGAGCTAGGTACCAACATTATGGTTTCCCGATATCTGAAGAAACGTTAGTGAAAACAAATTACGTATGATGGTGCAAGAGTAGGGAGGGACTTCCACAGGCCGGCCGAATGCTGATTGGAAGGTCGTGTTGCCAAGAGACTCTATCTGAGTCTGCGCACCAACCAAAGAGAACCAAGTCTAAACCGCGGTATCTCTTCAGATAGTCTTGACCAATCATAAATGTACGGGTAACGCCCTGTGTAATCAAATGGATTGTCGCACGAGGTTCGAGGCTCTTTACGGAAATAGACTGACAGATTACAGTTTTGCTGTCTGTGAATTCTATGACGTGACGGAGTCCTTGGCCAAGTGAGATATATCTTTTGCTCTCTCATAATAAATAGTTAAACTATTCTAAACTAAAGTCATCAGTCTTTCCTGGAATTTTGAACACAACAATAGTGTTCTCTTCATCAAGTCATAGAGTCACGGAACTGAGATGCTAGTGGTTACAGGAACAGTTTTTTTCATAAATTTAGAGCAAGAACAGATGTTACAGATTCTGTTCACTTGTTTCTGGTCAGATCCCATGACAAATGTATATTTTATTTGACAATCCTTTCTGTATGCTTGTAGAGTGGTGCAGGAATGAGTCCTGCCCAGTCGCTAACAAGTGTCTAAATGAGACGACTAAACGTCATCACGCCAACATTAGCCACCTTTAGCTTAGCG